TGAACCTGTCCTCTCCGCTGCTCGTGCAAACATCCCACCCTCCCACCCGCCACTTGGTCGCAGGACCTCTTAAGGCCGAGACGGTAGGTACCAAATGGCACTTGGCAACGACACCCACGCCAACGACGACAGCGACGATGACGACGACGACGCCGCCGACACCGACTACGACGACACCGGCGACATCTCCAAAGACTTCGGCGACGACGGCAACGACGACGATGACGAGGACATTGACGACGACGACGATGACGACGACGCCGACGCCGACGACGACGACAACGCCGACGACGACGATGACGACGACGCCGACGGCGCCGACGACGACGACGACAACGAAGACGACGACGCCGACGCCGACGACGACCACGTCGCCAACGAAGACGACGAGGGAGGAGGGAGGACGACGACGGCGACAACGACAACAACGACGAGGAAGGAGGGAAGACGGCGACGCCGCTGACGACAACGACGAGGAGGGAGGAAAGATGACGACGACGACGAAATAGGATGGACGACGGCGAGACGCCGACGACGGACGACGACGACGACGAGGGGGGGAGAAGGACGACCACGGCGACATCGACGACGGACACGACGACGACGCCAAAGAGGACGAGGACGACGACGACAGAGGACGACGACGGCGACGACGACGACGACGAGGGAGGAGGGAGGATGTCGACGACGACGACGACGCAACAGCGCGCGTGCACGCTTTTGTTGAAAAACCGTGCTGCGAAACGGTGTGATTTGGAATGTTTTTCTGGACGCTCGATGTTGAAATCCTTCCGAACAAAAAAAGTGTTTGAAGGATTTCGGCATGCGCGCGCGACGACGCGCGCGCGTGCACTTCGTCACATTTGTTCCAGAGGGTTCTCGCGACGGCACGCGCGCAAGGGCGTTCGAAGAATTACGACATGCGCGCGCGAAGCCCGTCTGGTAGTACTTTCTGGAGAAATTGGAGATCCGATGGTTTTGTCAAGATTTCGCTAGAGCGCGCGTAATCTTTTTTACGCAATCCGTGTTGCGAAACCCGGTGTTTTTTGTTAGTTGTTTTGGGGACTCGCATTTGAAACCCTTCCGGAACCAGAAGTTTTCGAGGGATTGCAGCATGCGCGCGCGACGACGCGGGCGTGCGTACTTCGTCCCATTTTTCGCAAGGGACTGTTGAAACCTTGTGATTTTTGATGAACGAGTGTGCGCGCGACAACTCCACTGCTCGCGCAATCATCCCACCCACCCAGCCGCACCTTGGCTTCCATACACCCATGCTGCGCTGCTTGAAAAGAGTTCTTGCGCCAGCACGCGCGCGGGAGCGTTCGAACGATTTCGGCATGCACGCTCGAGAAGCCCTTTTGATAGCATGTTATAAGAATCTTGCAAACCGACGCTTTGTTTCTAAGAGTGCAAGAGCGCGGACGCAAGTTGCTGTTGAAAGCCTTGGTTGCGAAGCCATGTGTTTCATATGTGTTCGGGACACACGAAGTGACACATCCCTACGAAACCAACATTTGTTTCAAGGATTGTGGCATGCGCTCGCGACGACGCGCGCGTGTGCACACCATCTCGCTTTTGCAAGGGATTGTTGACTTGATGATTTGTGATAAACGATTGCGCGCGCATGGCACTTTTTGCAGAAGATGGGGGGGGGGGGTCCGATGCCGGCCTGTCTGGGAAGACAAACACTCAGATTTCGGATGGACGATGGGGCAGAATGGTATGCACATTGTGGCACGGAAGCGGGAAACGTTCATGCTCGGGTGGGGGTCGACTCGATGAGTCTCTTCGGGAAGGAAGATATAACACAATCCATGTGGGGCAACATATGCGGTGCAGTCTATGTTGTGCAATCTATGTTGTCAAGATGTGTTGTGCACTCTATGTTGTGCAGTAAACGTAACGCAATATCTGTGTGGTGCAACGTACGTGGGACAAAATATGTGGTGCAATTAATTTCTGTTCGCAGTAAATTGTCCACTCCACTGCTCGCGCAAACATCCCACCCACCCACCCACCCGGAACTTGGTTTGCAAAATCTCTCAAGACCGTGACGGTGGGTACCACATGGCACTTGGCAACAACAGCGACGCCGACGACGACAGCGACAACGACGATGACGACGCCGCCGACAACGACTACGACGACCCCGACGACGTCTCCAACGACTTCGACGACGCCAACAACGACGACGACGCCGACGACGACACCGATGCCGACGACGACGACGACGACAACGACGACGACGATGACGACGCCGACGACGACGATAACGACGACACCGGCAACGACGACGATGTCAACGACGCCGACGACGACGACGACGACGACGGCGGCGACGACGACGACGCCGACGTCGACGACGACGAAGACGACAACGACGCCGACGCCGACGACGACGACGAAGACGACGACCACGTCGCCAACGAAGACAACGAGGAAGGAGGGAGGACGACGACGGCGACCACGACGACAACGACGAGGGAGGAGGGACGACGGCGAACGACGCGAACGACGAAGAAGGAGGAAGGACGGCGACGCCGACGACGGCAACGACGAGGGAGGAGGGAAGACGACGACGACAACAACGACGACGACGACGACGACGGCGACGAAATAGGAGGGACGACGACGAGACGCCGACGACGGACGACGACGACGACGACGAGGGAGGAGGAGGAAGGACCCATGTCGTGCAACATATGTTTTGCAACCTGCGAGGGGCAAGCCTGTGTGGCGACGTCTATGTGGTGCAGTCTACGTTGTGGGACTTACGTGGGGCAATGTATGTGGTGCAAGCAATGTGATGCACTGCGTGTGCAATCTGTCTGGAACTATCTACGTGGTGCAATTTAGTTTGTACTATCCAGGTTGTGTACCCTAGGCTGCGCAGTGTACGATGGGCAAATTATGTTGTGTAATCTACGAAGCGGCGTCGGGGCAACGACGGCGGCAACATAGCCGCAAGACCAGCAGACACGCCCTGACGCCGGGCGGTGACGAGGGGGCGACGGGGCGGCGACGGCGACCACATGGCCGCCAGGGCGGCACACCTGCCCAAACGACGGGCGGCGACGAGGCGGCGACGGGGCGGCGAAGGCGACTACATTACATGGCCGCCAAAACGGCACACCAACCCAACTCCTTGGACAAGAAATAAACACCCCTGAGTGCAAACACTGTTTTGGGAAGAGGGGCGCCATTTGGGAGGACGGCGATTCTCACTGGGAGCAGCAAGATCAGCCTGAGCAGGGCGACGTACCTCTCTGCTTGAGAGCCCGGGCCAATGGATCGAGCTTTCCCTGAGGGCCACCTCGCCCGTTCCATCCCCGTTGTTTCTTCACCCTCTCCTTCCACTTCGCCGCCTCACCGTGTCGTCCCTCCCGTCCTCCTGCCAACTGATGGCGTCAAGTTTTCGATCCTCCTGCGCGTGCCAGTCTCCTGTGGGAAGAGGACGACGACGATGTCGATGGAGACGACGACAAGGACCCACCTAGAGAGAACTCGCGACAAACGTTAAGTGAGCGACGGCCACTTCGGATTTGTCGCTCGCTCGCAAGTAACATTCGTCTATGGGGGGAACCAAACGCGACCCGTGATTCGGGAGACAAGACGGCATCACACCCACCAAAACCACAATCCGCTGGCCCACGTCGGGCCCAAGCTGTTGGTGGATATCCGCGCCCACCAAGATCCTGTGTCCGAAATGGCTTTCTGGACGCCTACTGGTGGTAGACACTTGACTTGTCCTGAGCTGTCCCACGTGCCCGTTTCGCGATGCTTGGTCGCCCGCAGCGGGCTCCACGGACCCGACGCCGCCCAATTCCCCTCATCCTGCCCCCCCCCCCCCCTTCTCCATCACTCACCCTCGTCCCCCCCCCTCCCCCTCCTCTGCCTCATGCTCCTTCTTCTCTTGTTCCTCCTTCTACTGCTCCTACACCTGCCTTCTCTGGCTGCCCATGCTGCTGCGCCTCCTGGTTTTGGAGATGCTGCTCCTGCGGCGGCTGCTTTGGACTCATCTGTGCAGACACGCTTCGATGAGACCACCTGCACAAGCAAAGGAACACCAGCGAGCCACTAGTATGACGTTGGTGCGAAAGCGGAGGCTGCTTGCGACTCACTCAGGAAAGTTCAACGAAACTATCCGAACTCAGATGCCTCTCAGAGCACCGCGTGATTCTCCTGTTCCGGGCACGCGCTGGCGACCGTCTCTGCCAGCGCGCGGATCGCCACTGCGCCGATGTCGGCGCGCCACCGCAGTACGCAGCGCGCTGGAGGCCCGCCGCAGCGTGCGGCCCGCTGCAAGGCCAACTTCTCAAGGCCTGCGAGGGCGTGCCGCCCTAGGCGGCCAAACAGTTCCAAGCCATACCTCGTGAATTTGGCCTTCCCCGCGGCATGCGCAGCGCGGGCGTCCTCTCAGACTGAGTGGCGTCGCCTTTCTTGCCTGAGCGGGCTCGTTACGGTGACGTCGACACAGTCCTTTTGAAGTTGTGACCCGTGTCCCGAACTATAGACGTCAAGGCGGGCCTCCACAGCACCCACGGTGCCCAGCTCGCCCTGCAGGAACGGCGGGCGCACTTCCTCCGTCTCCGCCTCAACGCCGCTCTGCGTCGCGAAACGTCGGAGACACGCGGCAACGGCATTGTGCGCCCTGTCGCGGCCCCTGCCAACTCCGCAGCATTGCGCATGGTCTCCGAAACGGTCGGGTCGCATTGCTTGCCGCACCGCGTGCACCGCGTGGCCTCTTCGCGCATGTGGCCGGGTCTGTGCTGGCAGGCGGTCTTGGGAATAATGCCTGGCAGACCGAGCCACGACCTCGCTCAATGCTAGAACTCCTCGCCTCTCAGCTGGAGTGCGCAGTCACTTGGGCTGTGGTTGCCCCAGTCGTGCACCCAAGTGCCTGCCGTCGACCGCAGGCGCGCGCAGTGGCGCAAGTGCGCCGCTGCCTTGCTCTTGAGGCGCTCGCTCTCGGCAGCGCTGCGCCGAGCAGCGCTCGCAACCTCCCGCTGATTGGCCTGCTCTGCCACCGCGCGCGTGGCCAGCATCTCGACCTGCTGCGCCCCCTGCACCATCTTGGACATCGTGCTGCGCAGCCCCCTGATCGGTTCGAACTGCGCTCTGAGGCCCCATTGAGGATCGGACTCTGGGGCAATAGCGCCCGAAACGCGAAGTTCGATGCCATGCGCCTCCTTCAGCCAGGCCAGCATCCGCTCGGCACCGTCCAATGAAATGGCGCTCAGGATGTCCTCTTCCGCGGCGCCCGGCAACAGCACTCAGAGGTGCTGCCTCGCGACCTGGGGGTATTGCCCAAGTGCTGCTGGGCGTCCGAGTCTCGCTCCCAACGTGGCTGACCCGAAGCTCATGCCGCCGAGTTCCGCAGGCCACTGCAGCTTCATGGACGTGTCTGCTGTCCACCCGTCGTCGGCCTGCTCTCCCAAAAATGTTAGTGCAGAGTCGCTTATGATGGCGTCCAACTCCTCCGCGAATGGCAAGCGGACTTCAAGCTCCATAGTGCGGACGTCGTACACGGGAGCCTTCGACGCTACCGTGTGGAAGACATGCCACGCTGCCTGCAACGACGCCTCCTGGCGGGCTTCCCCTCGGAAGCGAGCGCGCTCCGGGGCCAAGCGGCGCGCCGAGACAAACCGTCGAAAAGCCGTTTGCGCCGCCACCAGATCGATGCCCAGCACGGCCTCCAACTCGTCGCCGTAAGCGCTACCCAAGGCATGCATGCCGCCCTCCTGCGTCGGTCACGCTATTGGTGAAGTTGAGCGTGAGGCTGACGCGCGCCAGCTGTTCCTCAAGGGTGCTGCGGGCCTCGTCGATGCGCGGTGGCTCCGCAACGAGCAGCATGTCGTCCACCAGGCTGGGGATATGGACCCAGATGTGCTTGGCCGCCAGGTGGGGGCAAGCAGCCTGCAGGCATCGTCGCAAGCCTCGAGGGAAAGCTGACTCCGCAGATGTATCACGCTGCGCAGTGCCCTCTTCCACCCTAATCCTCCTCCAGCGGCCCTCCTCCTCCGTAGAACGCTGTGTTGGAAGCGCTCCAGATGCCTGCCAGAAGCGCTGCGCTGGACGGGCACCACAACTTCGCGCCCCGAAGCATGGCTGCGTGCGCGATGGTGCCGTATGGGCTCGCCACGCCCATGCTGCATTAAGCCATGTTGGGGCACGACTTCATCAGGCCCTGGTGCATCATGGACCAAACCATGGACATAAGCTCTGGGCTTGCTGGCTGACCATGCTGCGTTCCGTGTGGACCTTCGAAGTTGGAGTCGGCGTTACGTGGCCGCTGGTGTCGAATGGCCACCTAGATCACGACACTGGCGAACTTGAGTAGGCACTCAAGCGTGATGTTCCGCGGTTTCCAGTTCTCCTTCAAGATGGGCCGCAGGACCTGCTCCAACATGATGCGGGCCAGGCATGGGGTCACCTGGCCATCGGCCCACGCCTGGACCCAAGCAGTGAGGTGCTTGACGCCTCCCTGGACCTCCCCAGTGGCGCATAAAGCGTCGCTGCACGTCGCGGAGCCTCCAGCCTGCGCCCCCACGCGCAACTGTTGCAGCTAGTCTTTCAAAGTTCCGCTCCTTCATTTGGATTGTGACTTGTGCTGCTCGTGCCCAGGCCTCATCCAGAGCCTCGCGTCAGTCATCGGCGTCGAACGGCTGATGCACCAGCTGGTCGCTCTGTGCTGCTGTGGCGTCGCGAGCTGGCGAGGAGGCCTGCCCTCGGAGGATCTGCGCCGCTGTCCTGGCGCAGTCGTGCTTGACCTTGGCGGTTGCAGCCTTTCGCTTGCGCCACTCTTCGCGGCTCTGGTCCTCCCCAGGGGCGGGGGCGGGGCTTGGGGAGGGAGGGGGCGGCATGAGGAGGAGGAGGAGGAGGAGGAGGAGGAGGAGGAGGAGGAGGAGGAGAAAAGGAGGAGGAGGAGGAGGAGGAGGAGGAGGAGGAGGAGGGAGGAGAGGAGGAGGAGGGGAGGAGGGAAGGAGGCGCGCTGGGGCGCGCCCCCTGGGCGCGCTCGCGCAGGCGCAGCAGCCTCCGGCCCACCGGCTCGTGCCAGCGGCCCGCCTTCGCACGCTGCAGTCTCCCCCGCGAAGCCTTCTGCGGATCAGCCTCCTGTCGTCCTCGCCCTGCTGCTCCACGCCTTCTCTTTGTGTAGCTCCCCCCCGTATCGCACCCCGAGGCCGGTTGAGGGGCGGGCCAGGCGTTTCGCCGGAGGCTTCCTCACCAATGATGATCCTGAAGCTTCGAAACTGGCAGCAGCTTTGCAGCTGGAGGGCGGGTCGATGTCGAAATGTGGCTCTCGCCGTCACGCCGCGCACATTCGTTTCAAGTGTGTACAAGCATGTCACGGATTGAGGGCGGGTCGTTTTCAAATTGTGGCTCTCGCCTGAGCGCCACGCAAATTCGTCCCAAATATTGCAAGAATTTTCAAAGATTGAAAGCGGGATGTTTTCAAAACGTGCCTCTCGCCATAGCGCCGAGCACATCCGCTTTTCAACATTTCAATGGCTTCATGGATTCGGGGTGGGTCGTGTTCAAAATGTGGCTCTCGATTCAGCGCCGCGCACATTAATCCCACCAGCCCTTTAGGGCGTAGGTGGTCTAGAACAAAAAGAAAACTAGAAAATGAAACAAAAAAAAAAAAAAAAAAAGAAAGAAAAAGACAAAAAAAAAAAACAAAAAAAAAAGAAGCGTTTCCTCTGCCAACCCCCCTTCTTTCCCTTCGGGGAGGGGTTTACCCCTCCCCTTACCCCTCCCCACTGACCTGGACGAGGCGTCTCGCGAGGTGTCGGGCGCCCAAGATGGCTCAAGACGGCTCCAAGAGCGAAAAAGCGAGAAAGCACAAAACATTGATTCTACCTAGGTTTTGGAAGGATTTTGGCCTCTTGGGGGGGCCCAAGAGGCGCTTCGAGGCACTCTAGAGGGGCAACCCTAATTGGAGCTCCCCCCTTCTTTGATAGATCTCCTCCAAGATGGCCCCAAGAGCGCCCCGAAGGCTCCCAAGAGCGCCCCAAGAGCGCCCCAAGAGGGCCCCGAGAGACCCCAAGAGGCCCCCAAGAAGCCTCTAAGAGGCTGCCAAGAGACCCCCAAGAGGCCCCAAGAGAGTTCAAGATGGCCCAAGACGGCTCCAAGAGCGACAAGGCGAGAAAGCAACAAACAATGATTTTACCTAGGTTTTGGAAGGATTTTGGCCTCTTGGGGGGCCCAAGAGGCGACTCGAGGCACTCTAGAGGGGCAACGCTAATTGGGGACCCCCTCTTCTCTGATCGATCTCCTCCAAGATGGCCCCAAGAGCGCCCCGAAGGCTCCCAAGAGCGCCCCAAGAGCGCCCCAAGAGCGCCCCAAGAGGCCCCAAGAGGCGCCCAAGAGGCCTCCAAAAGGCTCCCAAGAGACCTCCAAGAGGCCCAAGAGGCTCCCAAGACGGCCCAAGACGGCTCCAAGAGCGAAAAGGCGAGAAAACACAAAACATTGATTTTACCTAGGTTTTGGAAAGATTTTGGCCTCAAGAAGGGCCCAAGAAGCGATTCGAGGCACTCTAGAGGGGCAGCGCTAATTGAGGACCCCCCCTTCTTTGATAGATCTCCTCCAAGATGGCCCCAAGAGCGCCTCGAAAGCTCCCAAGAGCGCCCCAAGAGCGCCCCAAGAGAGCCCCAAGAGGCCCCAAGAGGCCCCCAAGAGGCCTCCAAGAGGCCCCAAGAGACCCCCAAGAGGCCACAAGAGGCTCCCCGAGATACGCAAGAGGCCCCCGGGACCGCCAAGAGGCCCCAAGGACGGCCCAAGAGGCCCCCAAGCTCGCAATTGTCCTCCTCCTCCTCCTCTTTTTCTTCCTCCTCCCTCCTCCCCCTCCCCCTCCTCCTCCTCCTCCTCCTCCTCCTCCTTTTCCTTTTCCTCCTTCTCGTCCCCCTCGTCCTCGCCCTCCTCCATCTCCTCCTCCTCATCTTCCTCCTCCTCCTCCTCCTCCTCCTCCCCCTCCTCCTCCTGCTCCTCCTCCTGCTCCTCGTCTTCCTCCTCCTACTCCGACGACGACGACTCCTCCTACATCCTCCCCCTCTTGGGGCGTATGGCGGCTCAACCCGCTCTTTGTTCTTCTGCATGCTCCCCCGCTTCCCTCATCACCTCCACTCCCCTGGGGCTCATTTCTGGACGGGCTGGTGGGGATACGCGAAGCGTCTAGAATTAATCAGTCGCAAAAAGGAGCGGGAAGGGGGCGGGCCGTTTTCAAATTGTGGCTCTCGCCGTAACGCCGCGCAAATTGGTTTTCAAAAGTTGAGAGGGTTTCACGGATGGAGGGCGGGTGGTTTTCAAACTGTGGCACTCGAAATTGCGCGGCGCACATTCGTCTGCAATAGTTTCACGGATTGATGCCGATTCGTTTTCAAAGGTAGCTCTCGCCTCTGCGCCGCGCACGTTGATGTTAAGCATTCGCAAGAGTTTCATTGATGCTTATGGTTTTCGCACAAGAAACGGTTGGTGTCTTGGAACGAATCAAAACTGACATGATGCAACAATCACGCTGATGCGCTGTCTTGGGGTCCCAAGACTGGTGTACTGGCACGATTCTGGATCGCCAAAAAGTGCCAGTCAGGTTAACTCGTGGCGTTGAAGTCCTAAGAATACAGTTTGGCACGCTTCATGATTTTCATCCCCCTACGGGGCAATTCCCCCAGTGCAAATGAGCCCTTGCACGAGGGAGCTTGGAAGGAGGGCGTATTTCCACCATCGCTGATGAGTCTTGGGTTTACCCTGGTCCTCCTCCTCCTCCTCCTCCTCCTCCTCCTCCTCCTCCTCCTCCTCCTCCCCCTTGTCTTCCTCTCCTGCCTCCCTCCCTCCCTCCGCTCCTCCGCTCCTCCCTCCCTCCCCTCCTTCCTTCCCCCCTCCCCCCCTCCACCCCCTCCCCCCCCCGAGACAACGACAAGAGCCGACGCGTGGAACGTGCCGGGCTCCGCGCCCCGAGGCCGCCCCGGTCGCCGCTCGCGGCGGGCTCCGCCTCCCCGCCGTCCTCGGCGGCCTGCAGGATCGGCATCCCGTCCGGCCCCACCAGCGTAGCCACCAGCCTCTCTGCGCGCGGGCGTCGGCGGAGGGAGGGTCAGGAGGGGAAAAAACACACAGACACAATTAATCCTCGATTCCCCAGAAAATATGGGAAAATATGGGAAGTGGGGGGGAATACAGAAACCCAGAAAATATGGGAAAATATGGGGAATATTTTTATTTGTGTGTATTTATTTGTGCGTCCTGGGGCCCCTTCAGAGGGGGACTTCTCTCATTACGGTCAAGACGTAGATCAAGGACGGATGGTGAGCACGCAAATCCCTGGGAGGCCGGAGCTGGGATTTTTTGGGGCGGCGGGCGACCAACGACAACGGCAAAGGGCGGGCCGCAGAGACAAGGGCACATGGGTACCCTACATGAAGGCGCGCGTCCTTACTAGGCGCGTTGACTGTAGAATCCGCGCGCCTGCTGCCCACATGCACCCCAAAGAGCGGGCGAACCCTCTGGGAGGCGATTCTGGCTTCCGCGACTGCGCCGTGAGACACAGGCCAGAAGCGAAGCCGTGCCAAGAAAAACTGTCGTGGGGATCGCGGCGAGGGCCGTCAGCTGCTGCCTAGAGGCGGCGGGGGGAAGCGGCGGAGGAGGAGGAGGAACGAGAAGAGGCCGAGGAGGAGATGATGATAACGATGATGGTGATGATGATGGTGATGCTGATGTTGGTGATAATGATGCTCCTGCTGCTGATGGTGGTGATGCTGATGACGGTGAGGATGATGGTGATGATGGTGGTGTTGATGACGATGATGATCATGATGGTGGTGCGCCCTGCAAGGCGGGTTTTCTGAATGTCTCGCGCTCTCAATACTTGATCAAGGGTCCCTCGTCGCATGGATGTTGATGCCCATCTTTTCCATCACATCTTGCACCATCTGCCACGTTCTGTGGCGGCGGAGGAGAGAATGAGGAGGAGACGGAGGAGGCGGCGGCGGAGGCGCGCGGCTCAGGATGATCCATCGTTGCATGCTGCGTCGAAGATCCTGGCTCTTCAGTGTTGGCGCGACTGAAACAAGAAACTCATAGCTCCTGAATGCCACTACGACGCGCCTGCTCAACGCGTACCGAATCGTGCCATCTTGCCGCTACGCACCGGGCTGCCTCTATAGAGCGCCCAATTGCCCCATGCGGAGCGGGTGAAAGTGAAGGAAGGGCCCTGGGACACACAAATAAATACACACAAATAACAGAATTCCTCATATTTTGCCATATTTTCTGGGTTTTTGTGTTCCCCCCCAATTCCCATATTTTCCCAAATTTTCCTTGGGAATCGACGATTAACTGTGTCTGTATTTTTCCCCCTCCTGAGTGATGGAGCCTCCGAGACCGAGCGAGAACCAGCCCAAATGCACCCTGCCTCAGGGCTTTTTGTATGCCGGGTCGAAGAAGGCGATGAAGGCCGGGGGCATTTTCTCGACAATGGACCCTCACCGTCTGGGACGCCCTCGAGTCCGATTCCCTCGGGGAGGACAGGTCGCCAGGAAATCTGTAATGCTCGGGCAAGGTGTAGCCGACGGTCGCCAGCATGGAGACACGGCCGTGCTTCAGCTCTACCTCCCTGCGGCGCTCGAACTTCTCCACATCCCCGTCCTTTGTGAACAACAACATCAGCCTCGGTGGGGTGACACCCGCCGCAATACACATATAGAAAGTGATCCCAGCCCGGTCGATGCAGTCGACTAGCACAAACGAACTGCAGCAGAGGACGTGAGAGGATAGGAGGAGAGGAGGAGGAGGCAGCCAAGCCATAGCCCACTGTACCACATGTACGTGCGGCGGGGCGCAGCCATCACCACTCGAGCCACTGCGGCGGCAGGGCTAGCAGGGGCACGTGTTCTTCCAGAGCGTGGACATGCAGCCAGTGTCGCCGCGGTGCTCGCAGAGGTAGCGCTCCCAATACTCGTCAACAACGCTCAGGCCGAGGATGTGGAAACCACACGCGGCCGCGTACCAGTTCTTGTGCACGACATCCGGCCAAAATGTGAGCCGCAACATGGCTGCAGCAGCGTCGCCGGAAACCGGCGGGGTCCCAGAAGCTGTGGATTGTCTGAGCGTCCCGGCTCGCAGCCGGCCAGCTCCTCCTGGCCAGTTCAACCTGCCGCTCCTGTAGATTTTTAAACCCGCCGCCTACTTGGCCAGCTGGCATGCTGGCGCTGCTGCTCCTCCTCCTGCGCCCCTTCCTTGGCCTCCACCTTTGGTTCCTCCTCTGCTGCCACCTCCTCCTCTTCCTCCTCCTCTGCCTCCTTCTGACGGTGGTTCAGAGATGGGGTCCTGAGGACCAGGTGCCTCAAACAGTGTAAATCCACCCTTGGATCCCTTCCTATCCTGAGGACCCCATCCCTGAGGACCCCATCTTTGAACTACCGACGATGGGTCCGCACCAACTAGGGGAACCAACAAATATCGATACCGCTACTCCCCGAACCTCTCTAGGGGTGCGTTCTGACCGGAATTTCGAGGCGCATCCAGCGGTGGCGACGAAGGCCTCCCAGGAGGTCCAACAAGGGAGAGCGAGGGAAGGGCAGCGGTATGGAAACAGTTTTCTCCTCTGTCCCTCCAGCGAAGATGCCCCCCCCTTATATGGAGGCATCCTAGACAGGGTCCGAGTAGATGGGGTCATCGCCGATGCATCGGCGATGCATCGAGGATGCATCGGCGATGCATCGGCTACGCCGGCGTGGGGAAACACGGGCTCCACACCCAGCCGCATCGCCGATGTATCGGCGATCCAGCGCGATCCTCCGACCTCATCTACTCCGACCCCATGCAGAAGGCCCTGGAGCTTCGGAGTCCCACCTCGCACACTTCCCGTGACCCGCGACGGGGGCATCCCTGGGTCCCTCTCTCCACTGCGAGGCTGCGCTGGCCTCCGTGTCCCTCCGCGCCCACGTGCACCCCCCCGCTTTCTCCACGGTCCGCGATCCTCCGACCCCCTCCAGGCGGCCCAGATCCCGCGTGCCGCGGACCCCCCCGCCCCCTCGCGGCTGGGGGCCTCTCGCCCTCGGCGAGGCCGGCCAGCTTCCCCTGCAGCTCCTCCAGCAGCCCCTCGGGCACCCTCGCCCGCCCGGGCGGGCCGCCGAGGTCCACCAGCTGCGTCTCCGCGTCCAGCGCCGTCACCTTTCGGGGGCCCACGGGAGACGTGCGCGCCCAACGACGTACACGAATACGGCCCCCCAGCCTGCGAGAAGAGCCTCGTGGTACGAACGCGCGCGCCATGCGTACCTTCATAAAGCAATGTGGATTCATCTAAGTACGTCCTTCTTTCGCTCCTGAACAGGGCCGCCCCCTGCCGCTGCTCCTGCTAGGCTTCGTCCCATGGCCTCTCCTGGGGGTGCGTGCTGGCCAGGGTCTCGAAGCGAATCTGGCGGTGGCGACAAGGGCCTCCCAGCTAGCCCAAAAGGGCGAAACCGAGGGAAGGGTGGCGGTATCCGCTATGGGTACCGCTTCCTCATCTGAAGCGCAGCCCGTTGCCTCGGGCCCGCGTTGCAATCTTGGGCCAGCCGCGGAATCCAAGACTCGAAGCATCACGCTGCCCCTCTCGCGCCCTCCTACTGCTGCTGCTGCTCCCCCCCGTCCCCATCTCCCTCATCCTCGCCCTCGCCACTATCGCTGTCGCCGTCCTCCCCTCAACTTCGTCGTCTGCCCTCTCCGCCTGGCCCAAGTGCTCGTCCTCCTCCTCGCCCCCCTCCTCCCGCTGGTCTCCCCCCTCCTCCTCTCGGTTCGGACGAAAGGGGGCGGGGGAAGCAAGGGGGTGGGCATTGGCGCCTCCTGCACCTCCCAGCGCCGGAGGCGCCACTGCATCGAGGAAAGCGCTCGGCGGCGGGGCTGGAGCCAGCTGCACGCCAAAAACTCTGTCCCCCCCCGCCCGCCCTCCCGTTCCCCCCCCGCCCCCCTTCCTTCCCGCCCGACCCTCCCTTTGCCCCCTCGCGCGGCCAGGAAGAGGCGGACCCTTTTCCCCCCAGACCCCCGACGTCATGATTTTCTGAACGTCGACCCTCAGAGGTCTCGACACAATCCCCTGGACTGGTTTTCCATCCTGAGTTGATTTTTGACGGTCCCGAGGGCCCGTAAGGGCCTCCAAAGCCGAAACTTAGGAACATCCTGTCGTCATGATGTTTTCCTTGCCCGAGGGGGTCTGGGCCTGGCGTTGACGCCCCAGCGAGCGGCGCGACCCATCGCCTCGCCGGGCCACCGGGGTGCCCCCGTGGCCGACGAGCTCCGGGAGAGGAGCAGTGCGGCACTGGTGCGGCAGCGGCAGCGGCGGTGCGGGGGACGGCGCCGAGCCCGACCTCCCCGGAGCGGTCTCTTCGCCCGCCGGGGGCGCTAACCTGGCTGTCGGGCCTATCGGAGGAGGGGGCTCGTGGTCGCTACCGCTGCCGGCGGCACGCGGCCGTGGCCGCGCGGTGCGGAGGCCGAGCGCGTCGACGGCCACGTTGGCGACGTCACGTGGCCAACTCCCGGAACCTTTGAGCCCAAACTTGTTGTCATCTCCTGGGGGCGCATCGGTTGCTTCCGCCGCCTTCCGCCAGCCTTCCGCCAGTCCTCCGCTGGCGGAGGCGGCTCCGCTGTACCTCCGCCGCCCTTCGGACGCCTTCCGCCGAGGACGAGATGGCGGCTCCTCCGCTCCTCGAAGGCAAGGCCCTGTCTGGAGCGCCCCGCGTGGCCGATCCTGGAAGCCCCGAGTCCAAAATTGCTGGCTTCTCGCCTTTACTTGGCCGCCGACCTTCCGCTGGGGGCGCGGCGGGCTGAAGGCGAGGCCCTCTCCTCCTCCTCCTCCTCCTCCTCCTCCTCCACCTCCTCCTCCCCTTCTCCTCCTCCCGACGGAAAACAAGGATCTGGTGGTAAGCAGGCACTAATCAGGCAAACACGCAGCATCACTGGGACCAATGGCGAAAGAGGTGGAGAACGACAAACGGAACAGCATTCAGGATTTTTTGCGTCCACCGTTTATTGTCAGTAGTCACGACGTTTTACGAGCGCGGGCCAACTTACAACTGCGTCAAAGACGACAAGGTACGGACGAGCAGGATGCACCACATTGCGGTACCGACAGGCGCTCTACCACACGCGGGAAGGTGTGCAGCCTTGAGAGGTCTTGCCAGACTACCTCAAGAGATCTGAGCGAGCGGGCACCGAAGCCACATCCCACGGGGCCCTGACACCGGGCGGGGACATCACTTGCAGTTCATGCGCAGGCGCAGGCAGCAGGAGGGCAGACACAGACGTGGACCGCAACATGTGGATGAAGTGCTTGAGCAAAGGGAGCCTGCGAACTGCATATCCAACTCCTTCTCCTCCCCCACCCCCTCCCCCTCCTCCTCCCACTCCTCCTCCTCCTCCCCCTCCTCCTCCTCCTCCTCCTCTTCTTCTTCCTCCTACTCCTCGCCCTCCTCCTCCTCCTCCTCCTCCTCCTCCTCCTCCTCTTCCTCCTCCTCCTCCTCCTCCTCCTCCTCCTCCTCCTCCTCCTCCTCCCCCTATGGAAACATTCGGCCGCAACCTGAAGTCAACGGCGGACCAGCAGCCAGGAGGAGCACTGGCGGGGACACCTCGGAGTGCGCTCCAGGCAGGTGCTGCCTCGATTCCAGGGGAAGCTCTCGCGGGGACATCTCGGAGTGCGGACCCTGGAGAGCGAACGGCGGATGAAGCATGGAGGGAACGGCAAGACCGACCTGCAGCAAACCACATGTGGAAGAGAGGGGGTGAGGCGGGGAGGAAAGCGATGAAGGAGAACTTCCCAATCAAGAGGAAGCAGGGGGGCCATGGAGTGGCAGCCTTCCAGCTATTGCGACGATCCCTGTTGGCGGAACGGATGCAATTGAGAGTGGACATGGTATAATCAGAGACGAATGAGAAGCAAGAGGATATCAAAGAGGAGTTAGCGCAGACACAAAACGTGCTTCGGAAGCATAGGACCGACCTGGAAGCCGCAAGGAAAAACATCTTCCCGAAGCGTTCTGGAAAGAGTACGACAACAACAACCTTAACGAGATGTATAGACTACGTGTTGAATACCTGTGAACTGGGAGGGGGCCAACGAAGAGATACTACTTTTCGGCGCGCACATGGTGGGACACAAAGGAATGGCTAAGAAGACTGGGGGAGCACCCCCACGACGGGGGGTTGGCAGCGGTACCACTGGACTTCGAGCAATACAAGCATGAGCGCGACGACATGATAGCCGAGAAGATGCCACGACCACTGGGTGGTGATTTGAGAACGCAGGTGGAGAAGGGACAACGGGAACATGCTGAAGTACTGCAAGAAAACGGCACAAAGGAGGGCTCTCCCCCCATGGGGCGTCCCAGTGGAACTTACATGGATGATATTGGATCCAACGGTCAACCTGGAGGACCCAGAGCAGCTGAACAGGAAGCTTGAGGAGCAGAGGACTCGAGCAGCGGAGCTGAGCGAGGACGAGGAGGATCTGGCCAAGTACAGCTCCCTCCACAAGTACGAAATAGGCAGGGCGATACTACAGCGGATGGGGCGGAGGGCAGGCAATGCGCTGGGCCGGGCAGGACGAGCTCATAATGGGGAAGCGGGGAGAGCGAGCGAGAGACAAGCGCAACACCTGGGGAGGCATGAAAAGGCTGGACTTGGGTCGACAGCGATGAAGGCCGATGCGAGTCTGGAGTGCAGGAACAAGCTGGAGTACATCCTCATCAAGCGTCGCCAGTCCCAAGCTGCGCCATTGGATTGGCACATGTCGACCTCTTTTTCTGCGTAGAAAGGCAATGACAAACATGGCGTTGGGGGAAAAAGAGTCACGCATGCGCATTTCTCAATGGGAATGCTTTTCACAAGCGGATACTGCACAGCTGGCAAGCACCGCGACGCCCTTGCTGGGCACAAGGCGGGCTTCGGAGCAGGTCCAGGGATAACGCGATTGCCTACGTCGAAGCTTCGCAATGGAGAGCGAGACAGGTAGGCATAAGCAACTTAGCCAGCAACTGCGACTGCACCAACGCCTTCGCGAGCACGAAGCGCAACCGCCTGCTGGCGTCGGTCTTCGCTGCGTCGAAGGAGGAGGACCTGCACTCTGCAATCGAAGCATGGAATGTGTTGACGGCTGGGTCCACGCGCTGACTGCGCCGGGGTCGCAGGTGTGATTTGCCCTGTTTCCATAACACTTTAATGATACTTACAATCTCTACGTGGGACACTGGCTCCAGGAAGAGAGGAAGAAGGACGAGATGCAGACAATGCGCGACGCGATGAACCCGATAACGGAGAAGGAGCACGATCTCTCGCTCGAAACGTTCCTGGACGACATCACACAGATCCACGCAGTGCCGTCGATGGGCCCACCCTCCCAGACGCAGGAGCAGACTGGAGTTAGCGAGGAAATCTCGGAGCGCCAGCCAGCTTTCGGCGAAAGCGAGGGCACCTCGGCTCGTCGGGATGCATCAACTGGGAGGGAGGGTGGGCCCCTGTTGCAGGCGAGCAGAATAGCGGAGCAGACCGACGCCACCACGGAGCGCCTGGAACGCAAGCTGGCCAGGGGAAGATGGAGCCTCAACCCAGCCAGGACCAACCATCTGGTTTCTCTTCGAGGTCCAGGGCGCGACGGGATCACGCGACAGCTTCAGAGGGAAAGACGGCTCAAAGACACGCCGATGAGAGAGATGCGAGTGTTGGGCCCCTACATGCCAGGAGACCACGGCTATGCGGGAGAAAGAACGCAGCAAATCGAAATCGAAATCATGGTGATGTGTACGGGCTCCTTGCGGGTCGTCCCCGCGGGCCACGATCTGATCCCAGGAATTCGTCAGTCCGTGCATCGAGGCGAGTTGATGGCGCTGGTGCAAGCAGCGGAGCGGCCGCGCCGATCCAGGGTCTACTTCACGGACATCTGGGCGGTGCACGACGGCATGTGGCAGCAGCTGGACGAGTCACCGCAATGGCCCGAGGTCAGCGAGGCGAGGTACTCGTGGGCGCCCCGCGGGCGGAGTCCGGCGAGGTACCCGTCAACCTCCACCTGGACGTCGGATGCGGCGGCGCGCGGGCGGTTCCCGCTGGGATCCGTTCGTGGCAGTGCTGCTGCTCACGCGGCGGCCGAGCATGCGGCGCTCGAGGCCCGGGCGCCAGCTGCGGAGCGCGCCCGTGTGGAGCGCACTGCCGCAAGTGGTGCGGAGGCGGTTAGGTTCCACGCCGGGCGCCATGGCCGTCGACCTGAGGCAGCCGCCTCGCGGCCATGCGCGCCAGGCCAGGTAGCGGGCACATGGCCATATAGCGGTGCGGTGGCGGCTGCTGCGCTCCACGCTGGACGCCAGCCGCCTGCCTGGCGGCCGGTGGCGGCGTGCTCCCAGCTGGGCACGCCCTCGCGGCCGGGGGCAGGACGCGCCCGTCGGTGCCGCACCTCCTCGCCGCGGGCCTGCGCCGAGCTGTGCCAGCGCGGCGAGGTCTGCGGTGCAGGTGGGCGGCGAGGCCGTCCACGGGTGGCGAGCCCGTGGCCGACGGTGGGCAGATGGTGCCTCCCAGCGTGACGCGACTCGTGCATGTGGCAGCCAGCAGAGCAATGCAACATGGCATCCGTGGGGGACTTCGCGGCTCTCACCCCGCAGGCGAACGGCAATCAACAACGCCTGCTGCTGCCGCCGCGGGAGGCCGATCTGCTGGAGCTCGTGCGCGGTCCTGCACCTTGCCATCGCTCGGACGTCCATTCCCCCTGCATTTGTCGGTCTCGCGCGTGCTTTCTGTTGCTAAATGATCCAGGATGCTCCTCGATTCGGGGGCGGCAAAGAGGGGGGCGTCCAAGAGGGGGGGTGCAAATCATGACCGGCGGAATGTGCGCGGCCCAACGGGGGGGCTGGGGACGTATTGAAATTCGCCGGCCCAACGGGCCAGAGGCGTGCTAAGATCTCCGGTAACTACTTAACAATATTTCTAGTTCGCGCGCGCGGGGCGGCCCCTGGGGGGCCCCGGACGAAAAGTACCCCGGCCGATCCCTGGCTGATCCCCGGGCGATCCCCAGGGGGGAGGCTACTTTTCGCCACCCCGCACAAGGATCGTGGCCTCCGAGGGGGGGGGGCTGCAATCGACTACCCCCCCTCCCGCCCCAAGGGGCCCCCAAGAGCCCCCCAAGAGGCCCCTAGGGAGCCCAATACGCCGCCAAGGAGCCCCAAGTCGCTCCCAAGAAGCCCCCAAGAAGCCCCCAAGACGGCCCCAAGAGGCCC